CTTCTATCTCTTTAAATTTAAAGTTTCTTCATTGGATTAGATAATTTACATTTTAATTATTAATATAGTTGGATTTAGATCTATTATTTATTGTTTTTTTTCTACTGAGCCTATCTGTTTTGTTCCTCCTTTCATCTCTCCTTTCAGATTACTTACATATTTTTAGTATGCCACTTTAATTGACCTATTGGCTTTTTGGAAATACAGTTTTTCTAAATGTTTTACAGTTTTGTATGTGACATTTATATTTATTACCCATTTTGAGTTATATGTAAGATATGAGCCAGAGTTTTTTATTTTTTCTGTTTTTATCTAAAAATAGCTAATTTCCAGTGCCATTTTGAAAAGGCTATATTTTCTTCATTAAATTACTCTTGAAAGTTGTATCAAAAGTCAGTTGAACATATTTATGAGAGTCTATTTCTGGGTTTTCCATTCTGGTATCAAGATCTATGGGTCTATCCGTTCACTGAAACCACAATCTTGATTACTGTGTTATAACTGGCATTGAGATCATTTATGTTTAATATAATTACTCATATGTTAGAGGTAATTCTGCCTCATTTTTTTTCTGTTTTCTTTTTCTGGGCTTCCTGTGGGTTACTTGAACACTTTTTAGAATTCTGTTTTTATTTAATTAATTTTTAGAGTGTTTTTAGAACATATCCTTGTATAGTTTTTCCAGCAGCTAAATAGTATTCCTGTATGTGTGTGTGTCCATTTTCTATGTCCATTCATCCATTGATGGACAGGTAGATTGTTTCATTGTATTGACTATTATAAGTAATGCTGCAATAAACATGGGAGTGTAGATATTTCTTTGGTATGGCAATTTTTATGTCTTTGGCAATTCCGGATTTGGAATTGCTAGATCATATGGTGGTTCTATTTTTAATTTATTGAGGAACCTCCATACTGTCTTCCATATTGGCTGTACCAATTTACATTCCCACCAATAGTGTGCACAAGGGTTTCCTTTTCTCCACATCTTTGCCAGCACTTGTTATTTCCTGTCTTCTTGATGATAGCCATTCTAGCAGGTATGAGGTGAGAATTCATTATGATCTCATATTTCCCTAGTGATATTTGTCCAGTAATTATTATTGTGCTTACGAGTGGAATACAGAAAAGTTTTGCCTACTCCATCTTCCTGAAAATGGAAGTCTTTGTTTTGGTATTTTTAGTTTGGATTTTATTTGGCTTATTTTGCATTTTGCATAATTATCTAAACATTTTTGCCATTTTTTGGATAGGCGAAGACTTAATGAAACTTCCTGACGATAATTTCCATGTGCTGCCACTTTTTTGTACATGATTTTAAGTCCTTGAACAAAGGATCCAATTGACCAGCTGAGATCTCAGCTCACCCACCTGAGTCTACCAGAGTCATGAGAAAAAGAAATTAATTCCCCTAGCTTCTATTATAGGGGGGGAATAATTGGGTTTGCCTTCTAACCAAGGATACATGAACAAAAGGGTTAATTCTCCAGAAGGGAACCAGGATGCTAAAGGAATGGCGAATGCAGTCAAAGGGGAAAAAAAAAAGAAGGAAGAAGGGAAAGAGGGTGGGAGGAGACAAAAGTCCACGGCAACAGCTAAGCAGAGAGCCATGCATGGGGAAGACTAAGCTAGTCCCAGAGTAAGAACAGGATGTTTAAAAGCGAGACCAATGTGTGCAAAGTCTGGACAAGAGGAAGCACGGTGCATTTAGACCACTAACATAGCTCATAAATGCTAGTAAAGAGAGGATGTGGAGTGGGAATAAAGAAGCCAGGAATGGGAGAGGATGATGTTAGATAGAAAACCAAGAAAAGGGTGACATTCGTCTTCATTCCTGAGAGTAAGGGAGATATTAAAGTAATTTATATAGAGTTAAGACATTTTTATTTTTGAGAAATGGCTTTGGCCATCACAATAACTTTCGAGAGATGGAAGTAACTTCAATTGGGATGGTGCTAAGTGGATGGAGCAATGTGATTATCCATGGATAATAACCCCATATACAGAGAAAGGTAATTAGGGTGTGGGGATGAGTTCAATGTTGGACATACAGGGTTTGAAGTAGATTGCTGGCTATGTGGTTTTGAAATTGTGCAAAGAGATTTGGGCAAAAGATTTAGATTAGGTATTCATCCTTACATAGAAGCCAAAGCATGAGGAGAAATATTCCAGGAATAATATAAATGAGTGAGAAGAGACAAGATGCTAGGATGGAGCTCTCACTTAAGAAGAGAAGCACCCCAAAAAGAATCACCAGGATGACCAGAGAGTAAGAGGGAAAGCAAGGTGCTGTCAAGGTTCAAGGTCACTTGGCATGAGGACATGGCTAATGGTGTCAAATGTTGAGTTAAAAAAAAGGAATAAGTCTTGTCTGGGTTTGTCCACCAGGAGAGGGGTGGTGGGACACAGCCAGAGGGCTTGGGCCAAGCAGCAGGGAGGTGCACGGATATGTAACCCTTCCCCACCCTGGCCGGGTGCTCAGCCTGCTGCACATTAGAGTGGCTTGCAGGGCTGGGAAAGCTCCCTGCTGCCTGGACCCATGTCTCCAAGTTCATATTTAACCTGATTGGAGTAAATTTACATAAAGTATCCATTTCCTCTTGCTGCTGCAATACATGGCCACAGATTTAGTGGCTTAACACAACACAAATTTATTATCTCACAGTTCTGCAGTTCTAGGGCCAGACATGGGTTAAATTCAAAGTGTCAGCCGAGCTCTGTTCCTCTCCAGAGGGCTCTAGGGGTAAACTGTTTTCTCCCCTTCCCCAGGGTCTAGAGACACAGTGTCATCACATTGATTCTGTTTTCCTCTCTTCTATAGGTACATCTGCTTCTGACTCTCTTCTGCTTCCATTTTCCACTGTTAGGTGATTATATTTAGGGTCCACATGGATAACCCAGGACAATCTCCACAACCACAAGACCCTCAATTTAATCTCATGAGAAGTAACAAGTCCTGAGGGTCAGGTCAGGGACATCTTCTGGAGGCATTATTCTGACTACCACACATGAGTAAATGTTAACCACCACAAGGAATTCTTCTGAGCAGCCAGAATCAAGCAATTCTAAAAGGAGAAAGAAGATGCTAATGGAACTGATAGAGCTTTTTTGTTTTTGTTTTTTAAAATGGAGTGTTTCTGGAGTAGCAATAAAGAAGACAATCATTTCAATCCCTAGCTCTTTTTGTTGGTAGCATCTAAATAGTGAAATTATGTTTGAGAAGAATCATTTCCATTTGACACTTTTTAAAGTCTGCCTTGAGCAGAACTAACTCTTTCCCCCTTCTTCCCTTACTCAAAATATGACATATTGTATGAGGCTTCCAAACCCATAGTTATAATTAAAAAGACAAGTAAAAGATATGCAGTCTCATGCTCAAGGTGAGCCTGAAGATATCCAAACCTAGATTTATAGAAAATGAGCTTTTCAGAGATAGAAACTGAAGAGGCTAATCTGAAATGAAACTCAATTTTCTCCAACACAGCAGCCCGAGGTTACTTGAGACCCGTCTTTTGTCGGCACTGGGGACTCAGAAATGAAAGAGCGTGGAGATGATCAAATGCCAAGATTGCCATATTGTGCAGGGAAGGCGAGCATGTGTTTTGGTTGGAAGGGGGAAGAGTGTTCAATTAATCCTGAAATGTTTGCAAAAACAAATGATGGGCAAAAAGAAAACTCAACATGAAAGGGGTTTGATTCCTTATGAAAGAACCATCTCCACCCGTCTGGCAGCCACAAAATAAACACGTCAGCCAAGCAGACCCGAGCAGGTAATTAGGAGGGAGCAGCAGCACATGGACAGTTTTCATTAAGACCAAGGAGGCACAGCAGATGGGCAGGCCTTGGTGGCCGGACACCTAGGGCTGGGGGGAGGCTGGGCCATGTCTCCCCTGGTCTTCCTGGGGTCCAGGGACTAACCACTCCCCTTTGACAGAGCAGGCAGAACAGGAAGACTGTGCGAGCATCTGTCCATGCCTCAGTCCCCGGCCAGCACACAGAAACACAGGAGCAGAGTAATTAAGGCCCTGAGGGGATCCCACAGGCCTGTCAAAGTGAGGTGATTCCTCCCTATTCTTCAGACACTTTCCTTGTTCTGGGCACTCCCAGCATTATAAAATATTTGAGGCTTGCCTTGTCCTTGACCCCTTAAATACAGAGGAAAAAGGGACGGACATACACACACACACACACACACACACACACACACACGCGCACACACACACACAATTATTCTGTTTAAGCAATGGCCTCATTGTTTTATAAAATGAGTATTTACATAATTCAGTTAGGGCACAGTGCTGATCTATGCAGAAAAGAGGCCAGTGTTCACAAGGCGCCACCTTCACTGTCCTCATAGTCGAGTCTGGGCCATGAAATAACCATGCCTTTGTGACCAGACTTGTGCCTGCTTGACAGGAAAACACTAGTCTGATGACAGTGATACATCCAATTCCCCAAGGCGGGCCTCTTAATGACTGCTCTGCATCGACCCAATAGAATATTTGATTTGTCTTGCTATAAAAGGTGCTGTCGACTGACAGATTGAAGTGAACGTGTTGGAACTGACATAGTCAAATAGAAGAGGGGCTGGGATATTCTGAGGCTGCCACAACCTGTCCCACCTCCCTGCTTCCCGTGTCCTCTCCTGAGGAGTACTCTCAGGCCGGGATCTGATACACTGACAGTGCTGGGAGTGTATGCCACAGTAAATCCCGCCCTCTCAACACCATCCCTCCCAACTTCTGCTGTTCTCCCAGCTTCTGCTCCCATAAAATCACTTCCCACCTCTCAGCACAGCCACCTTCCCTTCCTGATTTTGGCCTTACCAACATCGCTGCTATGCTCTTGCTGAGGCAGAGGATCAAAGAGACAAGGTGTCAATGACCCACTTTGACTGGAGAGACCCATCCCCACTCACCATTTCTTCATTGCTGATGCATCTGGCTGCCCAGAGCTGCACCTACTCTTGGTGCTCCATGGGGTCCTCTCTTCAAGTAACTGTAGGATGAGGGGTTGTCTGGAATTCTCCACACCCTGCTGAGAGATGCAGACCATATTTTGCTTGCCCCAGTAGTCTAAGCAAACCCAACTTAAAAAAAATAGACAGACTTGAGACCATCATCTCTAGGAAATGAGAGAGAAGAAGATCCAAAGGTAACTGGGCAACTGTGTGCACAGTTGGTCAGTAGTTGATCTAAACACAACCTGGAAAGGAAAAGGATGACATCACTTTTGCAAAGTTGAGTTGGAGAAGCCCGAGGGAATCCTCAAGAGAGGTAAAAAACATGAAATTTGAGAATCATGTGAATTTACTTTAAATTCAAGTGAGTCTGAAATCCCAGCTTCCTTTTGAGTAGTTTATGCCTGGCACCACCCCCCATATTTTAGTCTTTGTTTCAGTGCGGCTCTGTGTGCCATATAACTCATATTTTTTAAATTACAATCAGATCATCTATCTTTTAATACATCAATTTAATCTTTTTATATTTATTCTTGCAACTGATATCTTTTTTGGGGTAATTTCTGCGACTACATTTTGTTTTTCTGCTTAACATTGTTTATCTGTACTTCTTTTTATCTCCTTTACTGCTTTCTGTTAGATTGATAGTATTTTTCTGTTTTTCCCTTGCTTTGCTGGCTTGCAAACTATAAATTGTGCTTATCTTCTTTTGGTAGTTATCTTTAAATTTTTTTTTTTTTTTTTTTTTTTTTAACTTGTTCAGATTTCACTGAGTTTTTTTATTTTTTTTTTTTTTTTTTTTTAATATTAAATTTTATTTTTATATTCCCCCATACAATTGCAAACGCCCCATTCTGACCCCAATCCTTCCCCTCCCGCCCCCCCACCCCCCAAAAGTGTCTCTGGTTCATAGTTTTTTTGTTGATTTTGATTTTCACTTTCTTATATTCATTTTCCTGGTCCCTTATTTAAGTTTTCTAGATTCCTGCTATGAGTGAGACCATCCGGTATTTTTCTTTTTCTTTTTGGCTTATTTCGCTGAGCATGATCCCTTCCAGTGCCATCCATGTTGCTGCAAATTGCATGTGTTTATCTTTTTTGAATGCTGAGTAATATTCCATGGTATATATGTACCACATCTTCTTGATCCAGTCATCTATTTTTGGGCATTTGGGTTGTTTCCAAAGCTTAGCTATTGTAAACAGTGCTGCTATAAACATAGGGGTGCAGGTGCTCTTTGGAATTGATGTTTCTGTGTCCTTTGGGTAAATACCTAGGAGTGGAATTGCTGGATCATATGGAAGCTCTATGTTTAGTAGGTCCAGAAATCTCCACACAGCTCTCCATAGTGGTTGGACCAGTTTGCACTCCCACCAACAGTGCACAAGAGTTCCTTTTTCTCCACATCCTCGCCAACATTTGTTGTTGCTAGTTTTTTTAATATGTGCCATTCTCACTGGTGTGAGATGGTATCTCATGGTAGTTTTGATTTGCATTTCCCTGATTACAAGTGATGTTGAACATTTTTTCATATGTCTGTTGGCCATTTGCATTTCCTCTTCAGAGAAGTTTCTTTTTAGCTCTTCTGCCCATTTTTTGACTGGATTATTTTCTTTGTTGTTGCTGAGTCTCATCAGCTCTTTGCAGATTTTTGTGATCAGTCCTTTATCATTAGTGTTGGGTGCAAAAATGTTCTCCCAGTTGGTGGGGTTTCTCTTTGTTTTTGTTATTGTCTCTTTTGCTGTGCAGAAGCTCTTTAATTTGATGTAGTCCCAGCTGTTTATCTTTCTCTTCACTATCACTGCTTTGGGTGATGTGTCTGTAAAGATGTCTTTGATGTGCAAATCCCGTAGTGTTTCGCCTATATTTCCTTCTATGTATTTTATGGTTTCAGGTCTTATGTCTAGTTCTTTAATCCATTTTGAGTTGATTTTTGTGTATGGTGTGAGGTAGTGGTCAAGCTTCATTCTTTTGCATGTAGCGACCCAGTTTTCCCAGCACCATTTATTGAACAAACTTTCTTTGCTCCAATGCATAGTCTTTGCTCCTTTGTCAAAGATTAGTTGACCATAAATCTGTGGGTTTATTTCTGGATTTTCTATTCGATTCCATTGGTCTGTATGTCTGTTCTTGTTCCAATACCATGCAGTTTTGATGATTATGGCTTTGTAGTATAGTTTGAAGTCTGGGAGTGTGATGCCTCCATTTCCTTCTTTTTTTTTCAGTAGAGCTTTGGCTATTCGGGGTTTTTGGTGATTCCATATGAATTTCATCAATAATTGTTCTATTTCTTTGAAGAATGCCATTGAGATTTTGATTGGAATAGCATTGAATCTGTATATTGCTTTTGGTAGGATGGCCATTTTAATAATGTTTATTCTTCCAATCCATGAGCAGGGGATGTCTTTCCATTTCTTTGTGTCTTCTTCTATTTCTTTTAACAGTGTTTTATAGTTTTCTTTGTATAGGTCCTTTACCTCTTTTGTTAGATTTATTCCCAAATATTTGATTTTTTTTGTTTCGATAATAAAAGGGGTGGTTTTTTTGATTTCTTCTTCTTCAGATTTATTGTTTGTGTATAGGAAGGCCACTGACTTTTGCGTGTTGATTTTGTATCCTGCCACTTTACTGAATTGATTGATGAGTTGAATTAGTTTTTCTGTGGAGATTTTGGGGTTCTCTATGTATATTATCATATCATCTGCAAATAGTGATAGTTTGACTTCTTCTTTTCCTATTTGGATTCCTTGGATGTCTTTCTCTTGTCTTATTGCTCTGGCTAGGACTTCCAGTATTATATTGAAAAGCAGTGGTGAGAGTGGACATCCTTGTCTTGTTCCAGATCTTAATGGAATTGCTTTCAGCTTTTCACCATTGAGAATGATACTGGCTGTTGGCTTGTCATAGATGGCCTTTATGATGTTGAGGTATGTTCCTTGTATCCCAAGAATTTCAAGGGCTTTTATCATGAATGGGTGTTGCACTTTGTCGAAAGCTTTCTCAGCATCTATTGATATTATCATATGGTTTTTATATTTCTTTTTGTTGATGTGTTGGATAACGTTGATTGATTTTCGGATGTTAAACCATCCTTGTGCCCCTGGAATGAATCCAACTTGGTCGTGGTGAATTATCTTATGGATACATTGTTGGATTCTGATAGCTAAAATTTTATTGAGGATTTTTGCATCAGTGTTCATTAGGGAGATTGGCCTATAGTTTTCCTTTTTTGTGTTGTCCTTATTCGGTTTTGGTATTAGTGTAATATTGGCTTCATAGAACGTGTTTGGTATTGTCCCTTCCTTCTCAATTTTTTGGAAGAGTTTGTGAAGGATAGGCACTAATTCGTCTCTGAATGTTTGGTAGAATTCATTTGTAAATCCATCAGGTCCTGGGCTTTTGTTTTTGGGGAGGTTTTAATTACCATTTCAATTTCGCTGCTTGTAATTGGTCTGTTTAGGTGTTCTATTTCTTCTTTATCTAGCTTTGGGTGATTGTAGAGTTGTAGGAATTTGTCCATCTCCTCTAGATTGTTGAACTTGTTTCCATATAACTGTTCATAGTAGTTACTGATTATTCTTTTGATTTCTGCTGTGTCCGTTGTGATTTCTCCTCTTTCATTTATGATTCTGTGTATTTGTGCTTTCTCCCTTTTTTCCTTTGTGAGCCTGGCTAGGGTTTGTCTATTTTATTTATTTTTTCAAAGAACCAGCTCTTGGTTTCATTGATCTTTTGGATTGTTTTTTTAGTTTCAATTTCATTTATTTCTGCTTTGGTTTTTATTATTTCTTTTCTTCTACTGGTTCTGGGGTTTTTTTGTTGTTCTTTTTCTAGATCTTTGAGCTTCGAGATTAGGTTGTTTCTTTGAGTTCTTTCTTGTTTTTTGATGTGAGCTTCTATTGCTATATATTTTCCTCTTATTACTGCTTTTGCTGCATCCCATACATTTAGGATATTGGTGTCCTCCTTGTCATTCAATTCAAAGAATTTTTTAATTTCTTCTTTGATCTCCTCGTTAGTCCAGTGGTCTTCCAGTAGTGTGGCTTTTAATCTCCATGAGGTAGGATAGTTCCTTGCCTTCTTTTTATGATTTATTTCTAGTTTGATGCCTTCGTGGTCAGAAAAGATGGTTGGTATGATTTCAATCTTGGTGTATCTGTTGATGTTTGTCTTGTGCCCCAGTATGTGATCGATCCTGGAGAATGATCCGTGTGCGCTTGAGAAAAATGTGTACTCCGTTTTTTTGGGTTTAGTGTTCTATAGATGTCTGTTAAGCCCAAATGCTCTAGGTCCTTATTTAGAGCTTTAGTTTCTTTACTTATTTTTTGTCTTGTTGATCTATCCATTGTTGATAGTGGTGTGTTGAAGTCTCCCACTACATATGTGTTTTCTCTGATGTCTGTTTTCAGAGAGGACAACAGTTGTCTGATATATTTTGGTGCTCTTTCGTTTGGTGAGTATATGTTAATGAGTGTTATTTCTTCTTGAAGTATTGTCCCCTTAATCATAATGTAGTGACCATTGGGGTCTCTTTTTATTTTTTTGAGTTTGAAGTCTGTTTTATCTGATATAAGTATAGCTGTTCCTGCTTTCTTTTTTGGCCCATTTGCTTGTAGGATTGTTTTCCATCCTTTGACTTTGAGCCTATTTTTATCTTTTGTAGCTAAATGTGTTTCCTGGAGACAGCAAAAGGTTGGGTTTTGTTTCTTAATCCAGGCTGCAACTCTGTGTCTTTTTATTGAAGAGTTTAGTCCATTTACATTTAGAGTTAATATTGATATGTTAGCATCTGTATTTGCCATTATGTTTGTCTTTCCTTTGATTTTATTTATTTATTCTTTCAATAACTTTTTTTTTTTGGTCTTCTTTCGTTGTTATTCGTCCCTCTGAGGTTCTGGCTTTAGGATTCCTTGTAGTATTTTTTGGAGTGGGGGTTTAGTCGCAATGAACTTCCGGAGTTTCTCTTTGTCTGGGAAGGTCCATATTCTTTCTTCATGGAGGAAAGAGAGCTTTGCGGGATAGAGTATTCTTGGTTGGCATCTGTTTTCTTGGAGTCTGTTGACTATGTCCCTCCACTCTCTCCTTGCCCGTAGTGTTTCTTCAGAGAAGTCTGATGTCAGCCTGATTGGTTTTCCTTTGAATGTTATCTGTTTCTTCCCTCTTGTCAGCTTCATTATTTTTTCCTTGTCCTGGATTCTTGGGAGCTTTACTATTATGTGTCTTGCTGTGTTTTTCCTTTCGTCGTGGAAGTTTGGTGTTCTTCTTGCTTCTTGTATATCAATTTTCAGCTCCTTCTTCTCATTTGGGAAGTTCTCTTCAATTATATCCATGAATATTTTCTCTGTTCCTACATCTCTCTCCTCTCCTTCTGGAATTCCTATAACTCTTATATTTCCTTTCCTCATGGAGTCAGATAGTTCCCGAAGTCTTTCTTCATTCTTTTTCCTTCGTACTTCTCTTTCCTTTTCTGTTTTGGTTCTTTTTATTTCTGTGTCTTCAAGATTACTTATTCGTTCTTCCATTTCATCTATTCTGCTTTCATTGCTTTTCCCAGAGTTCTTTAGTTCCTCCATTAATTCTTTGATCTCCTGCATTTCTCTTACTTCCCTCTTTAGGGACTCAATTTCCTTCTTCTGATCTATCACTTTTTTAATCATGGCAATTTTAAATTCTCTTTCTGGAAGGCTCAGAAGTTCTTCCAAGTTGCTGTCGTTGCAATCTGGGGAGTGGTTTTCTTTTTGTGGTGTGCTTCTTTCCTGAGGAGTTTTTAGGTTGCGTGTGGTTCTTCTACTCCCTACTGTCTGTTTTCTAATTTGTCGTATGCGTTGGGACACTGTGTTGCTCGGACTGACTGACATCTTGGGTGAACTTCTCCGCTCCCCTCTGGCTCTTCCAGGAGCCATCTCTGTCTTCTGGGGGAGCTTTCTGCTGGTTTTAGGCAGTTTTTACTGAAGAAATGTCCCTGTTCTCAAATGGCGAAGCGGGATGCAGTCCCTGCGCCTCCGGTTTCAGGCACACTCTTCTGCGCACCCGGTCTGCCCCGGACGTGGGTGCCTGCTCCCTCTGTGGGCTCAGACTGCTGGTCGGAAGGGGCCTGGCGTGGAATAACTTCCCGGCTGGCCACTGGGTCCTCCAGAAACCTTCTGCCCTTTTCAAGCAGTCTTAAGAAATGTCCTGTTTTATAGGGTGTTAGTGACTTTTTTTTTTCCTGGTCGCTAGGTGGCGCCAGAGATCTCTCCTATTGTCCTTGGGGGGCTGTTTTCGCCTCCCCCCACCCCGTGGGACAGAGAACAGAGCGGGAATGGTAGGGTACACCTCAACAGCTTTGGGGTGCTGTGTCTGCCTTGTGCCCCACCGTCGTGGAGAAACCACGCCCCGAATTTTCGTGCCCCGGGTCTCAGTTCAAAGCCCTCAGTTCCAGGACGCGGGCTGTAGCCCAGTTCAGTGGCGCGGGAATGGCGCCTTTTGCACCGCTCCCGTGCCTGGGCGCCTGGATCCTGCTTACTCAGGGAGGGACCTTCACCTCAGTGAGGACCTCCGCGCGTCTCCCCGCAAGCCTAGGTCGTCTCCCCGCAAGCCTAGGTCGCAGGCGCGGGACCTGGGCAGCCGCGATCCAGGTCTGCACTTGCTTTTCAAGCGCGCCGAGCACTCCGCGTTCCCGCGCCAGCTTACCGGCAGCCCGGGCTGTGTGCGCGTTTCCCGGGGTCTTTGTTCTTCTCTAATGGCGCCCGGAGCCGTTCGCTCACCTCCGCGGCGGATCCTGCAGGGTTCGCCTCAGCTCCCGTTCACGGGGTGTGGTAGCTGCAATAGTTCCTTTCCACTCACAGTCCCGCTTGCTGCGTCGTTTGTTCTTGTGGGCCGTTTGTTCTTGTGGGCCGTTTTGGTTTGTTGTTTCCTCCTCTCTGCGGGTCGGAGAGTGCCGCCTCTGTGGGCGGGGGAGGGGAGCAGGGTTCTGCGCTTCCCTCCCTTCTAGTCCTCTTTTATGGCCAGTTTCTTCTTCGGGTAGTTTGCTGGAGTCACCCGTTTATCTTCCGTGTCCCAGTTCTCACTGGGACCTGCCGCTTTTCCTCCCTATTCACTTTTTTAGTGGGAGATCTTACTCGCAGCGTCTCCTCGCCGCCATGTTGCTCTGCCCCCCGTTATCTTTAAATTTTTAACGTAAGCATTTAACCATAAATTTTTTCACAAAGCCTAAATTTGTTCAGTATATCTTTCCTCCTCCAACATATAAAAGGACTTGGTAAACTTTAGCTAAACATTGACTACCTCCTTCCCTCATCATACTATTTATACTTTTTTACCCTGAAAGTTTCCACACAAAAAAATTTAATTATTTTATATTTTTTTAATTATTTTTTAAACAAATTCTTAAATTTGCCAATTGGAAAAAAAATTTTGTGGATGTACATGCTCACAACTGTTTCTTGTAGTCCATTCTTCTCTCTGGGTTTACTTCACTTTTCGGGAGTTTTTTAATGATTTATTTTTGAGGGCAGTAAACTCTTTTAGAATCTGTGCCCCTAATAATTTCAAAATTTTTCTCTCATTCTTGTTAGTGTAAATAGCTATAAAATCCTAAGTTGCCTATGACTTTTTGCCAGTATTTTGAAGGAACACCTATTGGCATCTGTTGCTGCCAATGAGCTTTTTTACTGTTTGGTTTGTTTTTTTTTACTGGATTCTCTTTGTAGACAAACTGTTTTTTCATTCTGTAGCTTTAAAATTGTTTTGCTTTGCTCTTGGTATTTTTATAGTTTCATCACAATATGTCTCAGTATTTACTTATCCTGCTTATTTTTCAGGGAGCATTTCCAATCAAAAGAGTCATCTTTCAATTCAGGAAGATACTCAGCTATTATGTTTTGAAATATTGTTCTTCTGTTATTCCCTTCATTTTTCTTCTAGAATCACTATTTGTATTTCTCCTAGAATGTCTCAATTTACCCAAAGTCCGTGCTTCTTTCCTTCCTTCCTCACTTGTTTTCTTACATTCTCTTTACTTTCTATGTTGCACATGGAATATTGTCTGGGTTTTTTGTTGTTTTTGCTGATCTGACAAGAAAAACTTCATCTTCTTGTTTTGATTGCATTGCTCTGATCATTAGAGGGAGTGAGCATCTTTACAAGTATTTATATACTTATTACTCAAACATGAATAATGAGATTGAGTGATTTCTAAAATCGTGTGCAGCGATAAAATTTGACTTATGTGATATAAGCCCTGGCAAGAAGTGAAGTTACAACAATGCAGTCTGAAGTCAGAGTGACTTTGTGGGTTATGTGATTATTAAATTGTATTTCAAGTACTGGAACAGACCCCCATCCTCCCTAATATTCTCTCATAGGATGCCCACCAATAGCACCACATTCCTTAATATTTAGCCTAAGGAAAATGCCCATACTTCTCCAAGATGCATAAGTTAGCACAACCAAGGAGTTAAGAGCAAATTCTGACTGAAAGTAGAAAACTGATATTGAGAGAGCAAGAAGTCACAGAAAAGAGAACCCGGAAGAACGAAGGACAGAACTAACCTACTTCTCATTTTTACCGAAAGGCAACTGGTTCCAGGAGGAGTAATAGTGTAGTAATGGAATACCCTGAAATAGAGGTAGGAGATTTAGGATCCAGTCCTGACTCAGACACTCACCTGCGGTCTTGGGTTATTTCCATATCTCATTTTTTTGGTCTATTAAATGCTAATCTTACTTATATCAATTTTTATTATGAAGTACAACTAAAGGAAAAGATTGAGATGAAATGAAAAAAAAGTAGTTTAGTCTACCTAAAAGTCAGTGCTACTGGTTCTTCTCTCCATATCCAGTGGTCAGACAAGCAGCATAACCTGGCCAGCAGTCCAGATGGAAGTGCCTGGCAACTTCACTCCTCCACTTGGCCAGAATCCCAAATCAGCTCTTTTTAGAAGTTCACGGATTAGATGAATCACATGCCATCCATGCTTCTCTCAGTCTATCATTCAGCAAACTTGGGTTCCAATACCTCCTCTAGGCCTTTTTTCATCTCCTAAAAAGAATAAGACAATAATTTAGGGACCCTGACGGGTTTTGTCTATGTTTCACTTATTTCTCAGTTAACTTATTCTGCTGTGTTTTCCTCTGTTCTAATTATTTTCCAAGCTCTTCCACATTTCCTTGTAAATCAAATATAGTGGTGGATAAACTTGGAAGACAGCTGGTGGGTTGGCTTTAGTTGTGTGCCAGAGATAGTTAGCTATCCACCCAGAGTCCATAGCATACAATCCATAATTTAAAATCGTGATGGGAAGCACCTGGAAATTACATCTTCCAGCCCTTTAATATCTAGATGTGACCATATGACTGACTTTCATCACGGACTGTGAGTTGGAATCATGAGTCACTTCCTGACATTCTCTTTTATCCAGCAGGTTGTGGATAATGATATGGACTTAGAGAATGGCTGAAAAATACTATGGAAGTAGTCTTAGTTCCTAAACAACCAAACTGGGAAAATAGATTTGCCCTCTCATTTAAGGGAGAAATAAAATTCTATCATTTAATTTTAAAAACATTTGTTCCAGAAACTACCATCATGTTACTATTCTGCCTGAAAACATTTCACCAACATGACCATTTTAATAAATTTTAACATTAGCAAACCTCCCAACAGATATCCACATTAGAGTCTAGAAATTTCCTCAAACAGAATTTCATTAATTTACCTTCATGTCATAGGACAATTTGATTCTGCTATATACAGCAGTTCTTGACTTGTGTTTAGAAAAGCTCTGAAGCATAAGAAACAGATGTTTTACAAAGAAAAGTCAAATATGTTGCTTGTATGTTGCTGAAAATTATCAGGAAATAGGAAAGTTCAAAGAAACAGTATAGGAGTAACATCAGTCGTGTCCAGGACCTCTAAATAGGAAGGCAATCTACATATATAAATAACTCTAAATAACTCTGCCTGGATGCACCAGGAACAGGTATTCTAATTATTTTTTTTTAAGGATGAGATCATTTTTATTTGCATACAATTGGATAAAGCTTCGTGGAGGAAATGGGATTTGAGCCATGGCTTACAAGTTGTGTAGAATTAAGTGATACAATCATATATAGAGACCAATAAAAATTTACACTGGCAAGTGAAGTTATTATTAAATGCTCACTATCTAGGAGGTCTTGAATGCGAGTTCAAATAATTTGGATATATTATAAAAGCAGCAAGGAACTGGCAATTTGAGATTCCCCTTAAGTCCTGGCATATGACACACCCATAGCAAAACTATAATAGATTCTGTTCTTTTCAGAGGTATATTCTCAGCCTCCTTTATTTTCCTATGAACCTGAATTTATTATATTTCCTAAATTTCAGTGAGGCCTGAAATATCAAATGCCACCTTCAAATTTTTATTCTATCCTTAGGTATCACTTGTACACATTTTTGTACCTCTTGTACAAATATTTAATATTTTTCTTAAAGTCTACTTTTAATTGACTCATGCAAAAATTGTGAAATTTCAGGGAAGATAGATAATATATGCTAAGTAAAAGTTTTTCTAAAAAAAGGTCAAATAAATGCATGCCTATTAAAATTTTTAAAGTATTCTTCTATTTGCCACTTACATATACTCAGTTCTCATTAGTGGTTTAGGGATCACACTTGGAAAAACATGGTCCTAGTCGGAACTATCATACACAACTTCTCTCCTGGATTCCCAACTCAATTAGCTTTCCATATTTACTTCCCTGCATTGTTTTGTCTACTTTTTGATGTAGTTACTGATGAGTAAGTAATTTCACCATGGACAATTCTGAAATCTTAGTGGTTCAACAAAAGTTTAGCTCTTGCTCAGGATACAAGTGTGACAGCCCTCTTCCATCTTACCAATAAATCATCTGGAACACAATGCCAGGTCTGGAACACAGACACAAGTCTCCAGGGTGGAGAGAAAGAGTAGCTGATGATCAGATCATTAGGGCTTACTGCAGATCCAGGCATACGCGCATGTCACTATTGCCCATATTCCACTGGCTACATCATCTGAACCCAGCTGTAAGGGAGGCTGAGAAACAGAGCTGACCCCAGAGATACTGGTAAGTGCATTGGTCTCCATCGTGGTAAACTAGGTACTACTGTCCTAGAGATGCTCTGGGTTGTTGTTTCAAAACCACCTATAAGGAAGGGTTGGATGTCTCAGAATTAAAATATCAGATGCATCTGCTTTACTGGACAGGTGGATTTATCAAAATGGTCATGAGGAATTCAAGCAGTCAAGTCTAACATTCATTCTCTCCATCTAGCCTTCATTATTATAAAGATCAGAGTTCTATAGTATTTCTCTACTGGTACTCTCTGTACTAATCTTCCCCCACTTATTTCCACCCCCATTTGTAGTGGATTTTGAAAATGGAGGCTGTATTAGTATCCCATTGCTGTTATAATAAATTACCACATAGCTTAACAGCATAAATGTATAAGTTGTAGGTAAGAAGTCTGAAATGGTTCTTATTGGGCTAAAATCAAGGTGTCAACAGGGCTGATTACATTTCTGGAGATTCTAGAGGAGAATCAGTTTCCATACCCTTTCCAATTTCCAGAGGCTGCCCAAGTTCCTTGCCTCATGAACACATTGTCAAAGACAGCAATGTTACACCAATTCTTTCTCAAATCTTTATCACTTTTACACTGACCTACCTGCCTTCCCTGACTACTTTTAAGGACGCTTGTGATTATATCAGGCCCACCAGCATAATCCAAGATAATTCTCCATCTCAAGTTCAGCTGATTAGGAACTTAATACCATCTACAACCTTTGCCACATAGCATAATAGAGTCACCTTTTTTGCCACCTTCTTTGCCACATAGCATAACATATTCACAGTCCTGGGAATTAGGACAGAGATATCTTTGGGGACTTGGGAAGCTGTTATTTTGCTCATCACAGAGGCCCACATATTAAATTCAGATGAAGGACATGTGTGTTTTATTTTTCTTTCCTCTTTTAAAAAATATTTTTTATTTAAGTGAAATGTTTTTAAATTGGGAGAGTTCATAGATTTTTAATAGCTTTTTTAATGGTGATCTAGAAAAAACTCCTGGAATTGCTTGATAGCACTGTATTCAACCCCTGTGCCCCCAGGGAGGCCCCCAGATGTTTGGCAGTGATTTAGAAACTATTTTCCAGAAATGGAGGACTATTTTTTGCCACACTGGACAATACCTGAACACTGACTGTAGTTTTTCTTCCAATCTGGAACCCTAAAAAATTATCATCTGAGGCTGCACGCCAGCATGTGTTCTTCCTCACAATAGAACTGGTGACAAAAAGTGAAAGGGGGGAATTATTAGTGGGAAAGGTTGTCCTGAACAAATGCCACAAATAGGCTTCATGGGCACTGCCCCCACCCTAGACCAAAGAGATCCAAGACCCCAAGGACTGTAAATCCCTCTGAAGCGAGGGTTGCTGGGAACCGGGGGTGGAGTTAAGCAGCCAGGTTTGCTATATAATCAGATATGTGGGTCTTGGGGGGTCTCTGGGTTTTCGCCAGCTCTCAGCCTGCTATTGGGGCTCCAGCTCAGGGGAACTGGTTGGACACATTCACCAATTTTTCTCATTCTTTATCCCTGAGTTATTCATTTCTTCATTTCCCCTTATGTTGTAAATTAAAAAAAAAAAAAAAAGATAATATAATAGGTGGTGCCAAGAAAGAGTTGCCCTCTTTAAATGGGATATAGGTCCCCTAGGCTGCCAGGGCCTCTACCAATTCCTATTGCTGGTCCCCCTCAAATTATATGACCTTCCTTGCTACCTTCAAATTTGCAAATCTTGTGCCAGGTGTCTTACTAAAATCTTCATCCCAAACTACTATTAAACTATTTGTCACTGGATTCTTGAGAGCTTCATCCTTTGTTGCGACTATTTCTCTCATTTAGAATTCTATCTTCTGCACAGCCCTTTCTTCTGATTGTAGGCCCATGGTTTGTGAGGGGGTACATGGGGTATACATGGTGTGGCTGGGCAATCACGGGCATTCTCAAGACCCTCTCAGACACCTGTGTCATATGTCTCCTTGAGAACAGGGACCTAAGTGAATCCTGAAGCAAGGGATGAAGTTTTAATTTGCTGTTGCTCAATCAGCCCCATGGTATGAGATCTCTTTTAATGAATTTCTTTACTCTGACAACAGTCCCTTTTTGGCTCCCATCCAAGCTGCAAGCTGGCTTTCATTGTCCTCGTGGGCTTAAGTGAAGGGCATCTCACTTTGTTTCACTTGCAGATGCTCACAGATCCGGCACTGGCATTAATAACACCACAGGCCTGGACATTCCATCTTCATCAGTGGCCGAGCATCACACGCTGCACAGCGGATGATAAGCTGCCTCAGCTGCCAGGGAGATGAACTCTTCATTACCCCAGTCGGGCTGTGGGCCTCCACACCAAATACCTGAAAATCACATTAGCCAGGCAAAATTTCTCCTGTCACACTGACAGCTGATGGAAGAAAGAGACCTTAAAGATCTAAATTATACTAAAACTCTTGCAAAGGTCATAGGAGCAAGAGACAAAGGTGGGGGCCATGCACTTGAACCTGACACTTCCTTGGCTTCCGTCATCTCTGCTCCACATTTATGATTTTTGCCATTTCTGCATAATACCTGTAATTTCACTCATTTCATATTTTCTTTGAATCAACTATATATTGATTCAGTTTTATTTAAGCCCATCTTAGGCAATAATAACTGTAATATGAGGGTTTAAACATGCTAGTTTTATCTTTTTACCATACATGTTACTGTGGGATAATTATTTACTAATTAATTTAGGATATTGAGACTAAAATAAGAAATATTAAGCTACGTACCTAAGATTATAAAATGTAACTTTTCATTGGAGGCAAATCATACCACATTTTGGAAAAACACAGGTCTACTTTATACTCAGGACAGAATTACACCTGAACTAAATGACACAGTTGCTCTTGTACCATTCTCAAGCATTCTCTGTGGGTAGAGTATCCTAAATTCTGAGCATACTGATGCCT